TAGCATTTGCCATGCCACTCAAATCCTGTGACCGACTCTGAGGATTCAAATGTGGATCAAATGAGCTTGGGTGGCGAAAAAAAAAAAAAAAACTGGCACACAGTTTTGATTTTTTTAGGGCTGCACAAATGTTATACAAAGCTACAAATGATTGCCAGTAACTTTTTTTAGATGTTAGCCATCATACTAGTACTCACAATCATGCAGCGTATGCCCCCATGAGTAACTGAACAATCCGTGCTATGTGTCATGACTAACGCTAACAGCCCCTTCCGAATCTTAAATCCCTTTTCCGCAGGCCACCTAATTAACTGCAACGAAATCGGCCTAAGCGCAGTCTTGCACATGTTAGAACAAGTCCAAGAAATTTTCCAACCACTACAGCAGCCACCCCCTTGCTTTTTTTTTTTTTCACGATGCAGTTCGGATTAAAGCACGCCTTTTCAGCTTGCTTGTAAGGCCATTTGGCTAGATAAGATAACACTGGCACGTGCCTGTTGACCCGGCGACGGCACCGCATCTATCATATGTGCCATTGCTATGGGAACAAACGTGGTCGTCGGCAACGCGGGCATTCGCAGCATGTTGAGTTAGTTCATGCGCAGTAACAACGGCATTTGATTCCAGCTTTAGTTCCTAACACATACCTGCCAACTTGGCAACAGAGAAATTCATAAAACCCCCCGAGTGGGGAAAGGGGGAGGGGTTATTTATTCTTTTTTTTTTATTTGTAGGTGTGATCGATTATCCTTTAGCGACAAGCATAATCATGTTTTGCCCCCATAAGCCAAATCGACGCGCTGAAATATTTTCCCCATTTTTGCCACTAAAAGAAAAAAAACATCGCGAAAAACAGGGGCGGTGGGGGCCAAACGCAGGCGTCAACATCGGCATTGCGGCCTCATAATGGCTTGGAGTGGCCGAACACACGAGAGTAAGGTTTCCCACTAAGGTGAGAGTTCCCGAAATCTCGTGTCATCCAAACAACTATAGCCAAAAAATAAATTTTCATCAAAACAATTTTCGTAATGATTGATTGATTGATATATGGGGTTTAACGTCCCAAAACCACATATGATTATGAGAGATGCCGTAGTGGAGGGCTCCGGAAATTTTGACCACCTGGGGTTCTTTAATGTGCACCCAAATCTGAGCACACGGGCCTACAACATTTCCGCCTCCATCGGAAATGCAGCCGCCGCAGCCGGGATTCGAACCCACGATCTGCGGGTCAGCAGCCGAGTACCTTAGCCACTAGACCACCGCGGCGGGGCAACAATTTTCGTATGTCTTCACACGTGAACGAACGGGACGGCGCCGCTGGCTGCCGCAAAAACGTGGCTCAAAGCTTTGGCTTTGCTTGCTACTAGATTTTTAGGACAGGTATGCCAAAACGCTTCTAGCCTTTTTTTACATCGTTACCACCTTTAATCTACCGCTGTGTCAGCCACGTGTCCTCGGAGCTCGTAGAGCGCTATTGCATTGTTGCGACAGTTGCAGTAAACGATAGCTTTGTTTTCAATCTATGTGCCTTCAAAACTAAGTCGTTTTATGCTATCTGTGATCACAATTGCCGTGGTTTTAGCCAACAGAGTTTGCGGAAAGTAGTGTTGCTTTTACTGGTTGAGCGTTGGCTGCACAAACACTTTCGGAGTTCTGTCAGTAACGTCGTCGCCATACATGATCGTGTCGAACTACCATGGTTTCTTCCACAGCAATTGTGGCAACTACAACCACACGCACTGTAAAAGACAAAGCGTGCGCTGGTCGCACGCGTACTTTCAAAGTTCGAGCAGGCTGCTCTTGATTAGCTTTCGTTTGACAGTTTCGGTACTATTGGCCCCATGGACACATGAATTTCGCTGAAGAATTTCACAAATTCGTATCTGCCGCAGTTTCGCATCACTGAGACTCTACTGTACGTTTAGATCAACGCCTCTCGAATTCATTAATAACAAATGTGGTGGGCTCTCAAAAAGCCTGGAACGGACTGACCTGCACTTTTGTGAATGCGGCCACATTTAGCACACAAATTTAGATTTCCGGGAGATTTTCATGGCTACCGTACAAACCAAAAAGACCGTCAAAATCCAAGTCTCCCGGAAAATGCAGAAGACTTGGCAGGTATGTGATGATAACATTAGTACATATTGTTCTCTCCTCGCGGGAGGATATAGCACAACGCCGTTTTTGTGCTTTCCGCGACTAGCTACGGCAATGCGCCGTAGCCAATTGCGAAGACCACGCTATTTTACCAATTTTATTTTTTTTACCAGAAATAATATACAGTCGAGCCCACTTATAACGAACCTGAGTGTGAACCTGAGTGTAACGAACCTTCGCTGTATCCCGAAGTTCGTAGTAAATAAAACACAGCTTTTAGAAAAAGTTGCAAGTGAAAACACGAACTTTTCCTGCGCGAAAAAGTCCGTGACGGACGTGTTTCGAAGAGATGAAGCGATAAGGGCGGTCTCGAGTTCATTTAAAACAGCAAGGTGCTCGTTCGCCGAGGCTCGTGGCATAAGCTGCATGAAGCATTGGCTCCAAAGTTTCGTCGTTCTCGCAATCCGATTTCTCCAAATCGCTCTCGCCACGTACTTCAATTACAATGCCCCAATCCGTGCATGGTTCCACAGTGGTGGCATCATCATCGGCCGTAATTAAACCATCGCAACAGATGTCCCACTCGCTCTCCCAGGTCGGAGTCGACGATGCGCTGCCACAAATTGCTGCGGCAGTTCGGAAGCTTCAGGCTCAGCATAGGGCCCGACGTCGACGAAATCGACCTCCCGAAAACAGTTTCGCGCGCATGTAGTCATCACCGCCACCCACAAATATTCACCATCTTCACACCTGAACAGCGGGACACCCGAAGCGGCAAGTTGGCTGCCAGGTGGTCAGTAGCTATGTGCAAGCACTCTCCGCAACGCGGCACCTAACGCGCGGATTACGCTCAAGCCAAGCGGCCACACTTTCGACGTTTTGTTGAGCGGCAAGAAAAAGCGTGCTAGTCCTCCCATCGGCCATCATGACGACTCACGCACACCAAGAGCGAGCAAGACGCGCACCCGCAACACACATGCTAGAACGCGTGGAACAGCTCTGGGCCCGTTTCCAGTCAGAAAACAAAACTAATTGGAGTCGGCGTGGCGGGCATCATGGAGCGGTGGAGACTTGTGAAGGGGTTGTGATCAAGAGAGGCGAGCAGACTTGAGAGAGAAGAACAAGAAGTTGCGATAAAGAGAGGGGAGGATGCGGCAGGAGGGCGACCTTGAAAACCAAAACACACGGGAAGGCAAGCAGGTTGGGTAGCTTGCTTGGAAGTTCTGCGAAACTCGCACGTAGAAAAACTTGGAAAGAGTGCGTGCGCGCACAGAAGTCAGAGCATGGCCGCCTGGATTGGTGCGCGCGGCGGTGTTAGAAGAATTGGCGGCCGTGGTCAAAAAATCATTTTGCTGCGCCGGCGGGTTTGCGTCGCCTCACAAACTTCGATATTTCGCGATTCGTTCCATGCAAATGAACAGCCGTTTTCGCGCTTACGCACGCGCACGGAAGGCATGCTGAGTCGAGTGCGAAGTGAGCGAGAACAAGTCCTAAACATGAAACGAATCGCAAATTATCAGAGTCGGTGGGGTAGCGTACACGGGTGCACTAGAAGCAGACTATCAGATACAGTTGGTGGTTGACGATGTTGGTAAATGGTCTGGTGACTCGACGACGCCAACGACAGTACCAGCGACCAAAAACAGGGTAGATGGCCGACCGGTCTTCGTAAGATCGGTGGCAGTGTGAAAACACGAGCCTCGCCTGGCGATGCGGGGTGCTCAGAGTAGCGGGGGGACAAAAAACGGAGTGGTGCGTAACAAAAATCAGTCAGAACATGGAGGAAGGAAACAGCTTTCCTTCCTCCATGGGTTGGGGAGAGCAGAAGCTAGAGGGTCGCGGAGGCAGGGTTGGCATTTAAGATTAAGAATGCATGGGCACCTCGCCGATGCCTGATCGGTAATCGAAATTGCTTTCTCGGGAAGTCGACAGATCGCTGATTCCATACGCTGTAACCAATCAGCGGCGCTTGGAGACGTTCTTTGTAAGTGCGATTTTGTCCCATTGAACCAAGTGGAGCCATTATATGTGGGCCCGACTGTATTTTTCGTAAAATTTCTGGTAAGATTCGTAAAATCGTAAGCACGGTTGAAATTCGTACATTTTACGCAACACTCGGAAGATTTGGCAGGTATACTAACATGCCATAACCACGTTTGTTGACTAGGGCATTCATATTTGCCGCAAAGTGTTGCAGGCTACGGCAATATATTTTTGTCTTGAAGTCGCATTGTATCCGCTGCGATCAGCAGACCAATAGGCGCGTGGCGTTCTTACTTCATCTGGTCGATCACGTTGCCTGAGTGTACTGCCGTGATTTTTGGTGTTCGTGAGTGTCCTGCCGTGAGTCGGCAGGCCTAGATACCCAAACTGATTGAGGACGCTTACTACAGATGCCAATGTGGCCTTCATTCCTCACTGAAACTAGCGAAGGCTGGTCGGGTATTTTAGTGCAGCGTGGCACAATTTTGGCCAATTTCATGGTTTTGGCGGAGCTCGGCGCAAAAATGGGCATTTGTATCCAATTGGCGGAATTGGCGCAGCTGTTGCACCCCTGCTCATCTCCCCTTAATTTTATCGAACTGACACTATTGGCACCTGAAGCGAACATAGCACGCTTTCACCTAAGCGTCAACAAGGACACGTGCATCAAAGAAAATATGTCTCGGTTCTACGCGCAGCCTGTGCTCGAGGTGCATGCGTACGTAGCTGCGCAATAAAAAAACTCTGACATAGTAAGTGTTTTTGTGTCTCCTTTACCTGAACAAAGACACAAGAAGAAGACAACTTATTGTGTCCTTGCTAGCCCAGTGCCATTGTTATTTCAAGATAATGTGCCAACAAGCCCCAAATGCAAACGTTCACTGCTTCAACACTCGTCACACAACCACACGCACCTGCGAGCTCAACATTTCCATCTGTTGGTGAAGCAGGGAGTTCTGGTGCGACAGTTCTTCCACTCGCTTGGCGAGAGCGTCCTTCTCGGTGCAGAGCTGCTGTTCCTGCTGGGACCAAGATTCACGGGCTGCAGTCAGCGTCTCCTCGGCACCCTTGGCTTGCTGCTCGAGCTGGGAGACCTCCTGTCGCACATGGTCCAGCTACAAGGGTGGAAGCAAAGTCTGAATGACACGAGAATGCAGTAGCAGGCCCTTCTACCCTAAAGACGATGACCAGAATGTGAATGGCACCAAACGCCTAAGGGTGCTATTGTGGTTCTCTTGAGGAGAGCTACACGATGTATAATGACGTACCCTGCCAGTGTGCTTACAGCAGCCACCCAAAAAGTTAAGGGGGGACGTGGCAATGAAAATTATCTTGGTTATTTATGAAGCTAAATGAATGAAATTTGGCATGCAGATGTGATTTGTTGTGCTTATATCATAACTGAAATCGATTTTGAGCTATCTAATACAACTTTAGAGTAGCAACACTAGATAGACTGTCATTGTCACCCCAAAATTAATTAGCCAATTAGACACAAGTTCGTCGAAATTTTGGCGTAAGGATATTTACAAGGGCCCATTTTATGCTGTAAAGCTATTGGTTTATTTTTAATATGTAAGTAAGCACACAACCTTTTTTTAAATGTTCTGAAAATGTCTTACCAAGTACTTTTACAAAAAGCCAATTACAAAAGTATGTATGATGTGCACACAAATATGGACAGCTTTGTGGCGCTCCCCAATGTCTCAGAATCCAAGTACAGGAAACGGAATGGCTATAGCTTAATTTTTGTGAAATGGCACAGGAATGACTGACAGCAACTGCTCAAAAAATGGCATGACAGCAACTGCTCAAAAAATGATACACGAGAAAATGGAGCTTACAAAAATTAGAGCTAGAAGCTGATAAAACGGAACTCAGAAGGAAACTGGCTTTATTTTTTATTGGAGAAATGCATCTTTGTGGCTATGTTGAGCTCCAATCTGTCCTCTTTATAATGATGCCAATATGGTGGCACTTTGCCAAGGGAATGCTGCGAATTTGCATTTTGCTATGCCCAATTTTCCCATGGCTTTTGACGACAGCTCACCAATAATATGCTTGTTTCTCAACTTCTACTACTTATTTCGATCTAAAATCACACTATGATGTCAAACATAGTCTCATGATCACAGAAAAAAATCTATTGAAAAACTGAACGTTTTGACTAAATGTACAATTCCCATTGCCACATTCTCCCTTATAAGAAGGCTCTGTAACCCCACTCTTCCAGTTTTTGCAGTGACAGTGGCGCGTTCCATGCAGGCCTGGTGGTTTTTTCACTTCTTAACCAAGCTTGATGAAACTTGATAACTTTGTACATTTGTGTGCTGATTTCAAATATGCAATCACAGTGTCATCAAGTGTCATCCAGCCGCCCTGTTTCAATGCTCCAGCCCATGCTGTTTGTAACCAGCCGTGTAGATAGCGTACCGGCCAAATGCGACCTGCGAAGCGGGCGTCCCAACTAAGCTCACAATGACAAACCCGATAACAATAACGCAGCATCGAATGGCGGCACAAAGACGTTGCGGTAGATGTTGCGGGTGCACAACGTGCCATCAGCGCGATGGGTGCAGTTGCGCTCTGCATAGCCTCCGAGATGGCGAGCACCCGCCGTGTCCCATTTTGGAAGCCACGTGCTTTGTTTTTGTGCCACTGTGTTTGCGTGGCACTGTTAAGAAAGTGTTTTCTCCTGGATTCAACAGATAGCGCTTTGCCGTAAAAAGCGCAACTTTGAAATTTCGAATGACGTCGTCAGCGCCCGCGCTGCTCGCAACTGTTTAACATAGTCGCAAAACTATGTTCTGACTTTTATTGCATTGTTATTTTGTGATATAATGGCTTGATTTATTGTTGTTTCGATCTTTAATGGCACTGGCTGTCATACCAAAATAAAATGAACAAATACACTTGAAAAAGTTTTTCTTTTTCGAAGGACCAATGTGGAAGTGGGTTCATTAAGCAAGTAAATACGGCAAATGTGGCAAATATGTGCATTTAGAACGAGGGAGCGTCAGTCACTGCCATCTTTTGCCATTACAGCAAGTGTGGAACTCTTTTTTGCCAGTTTTGCGTCCTGTAGTACTTAAACTTATTACGAGGTGGCAGCTAACCGGTGCATGTTTCTTTTATAGGGGTTCAACTGTATTTTTTTTGCCCGAAGTGTAGTTCTTAAAATGCAAAATATTTCATGTGCCTTTCGGGGAACAATTTTTTTGTAAACTAAAAGTGCTGGAAAGTAAATTATCACATCACAATAATCTGAAATCTGAGCAGATTGCATGCAACAAAAATGGATGTTCTAAATATATTTGAACAATGTTGCGGTACGTTGAACAATTGTGAGTGAGCCAATTTCAAGCTGAGATTCCGCTGGCAAATACTCTACATCCAATAACTTTTCTTCTACAATGAGTTCAAAACATCTTTTTGTTGAACTGCCATCAGCTGTGATTCCAGATTATTGTGATGTGCTAATTTACTAGCTAACTCTTAGATTAGAAAAAGGAACTTGCTCCCCAAAAGGCACAACATATTTCATACCTTAAAAAATACACTACATAAAAAAAATTGCATATGTTAAATCGGCACACAAACATACCTAAGCTCACATTCTTCCACACTGCTCAATAAAAAAAAAAATATGTTTTTAATTAAGCCCCCTATTCCCCTTTAACAAAACATGTTTTGGGACTATTTGGGGGTGCATTCTTGCTTATAGGAGATATTACAGCGAAACTTTTCATAAGAGCTAGACAACAGAGAAGTACTGTCTTCGTCAAAAGTAGATGTTTTAAAAAGGACATGGCAATAAGCATTGTTAAATTTTGTCAAAATGATCATGTTCAACATTTTTATTTTTTGCAACCCTGAAACCATCTTTTATGTCACTGTGAAATAAATGGTAGACGCTGAGAAAAAAAGCATTTTACAAGTGTGTTGTCATCAATAAATTCGATAATAATAATAATACAGTTAAACCTGGATATAACGAAATTGACTAACTGCAGAAAAAATTTGTTATGAAGATTATTTCGTCATATGCAGGTTTGGTACGAGAGATAGTAAATTAAACGCACGAATTAAAAAAAAAAGAAAAACTGAAGGCAGAGCTAACCTAAAACACTCATTCAGAGGTAGAAAACTGCATTATTATGGCAATTTATAACAATTATGTGGACATTCTTGGCGGGTTTTTGCCATCGTCGCCATGTTCCATGAGAAGTCCAAATTGAGAACATGCCCCCTTTTACGAGTGAGTATACTTGTACGATCGGGTAAAAGCGCGCGAGCACTGCTAAAGCAAAAATCAAATGAGTCAACCCATCTCTATCACCTGGGGGCACATGTGATACATCCCCCCCCCCCCCTCGTTTTAGAACTGCATCGAATGTTCCAACAGAAAGGAAACCACCTGTCTTGAACACGCATAAAAAATCCAATGGGGGGAAGAGGTCCCTCAAGTAGCAACGGTGAACTTTTATTTATAAATCGTGGTGAAGGTCACTGGTATGCAAGCTATCTCGGCAAGCATGAGTGCATTTCCAACGCAAGGAGACTGTGAAAAGAGCACTTCTCCTTGGAGCGGCCACATTTCTTTACACCAGTACAATAAAGCTCGTTAATTCGACACCCGTTAATTCAGAATTTCGGATAATTCGGACAGCTGTATTGGTCCCTACCAAAGTGCATGTTAATCTATGGGACCAAACCTTCGTCATTTCGTCGGAATTCGGCTCCGCACCGCTTAATTCGGACAAATGCTGACGGCTGCTGCTACCCAAAAGTGTGATAAAGCAGCGCTGGCACCACTGGAGTGAAACCGAAATCTGAGTGGCATCGCCATCATCATCAACTAGTGGGGGCGATCGCAGCGTCACCGAACACCGGCGTCTTCTTTCTTCTCCACTCAGCGCCTCCGACGCCATTTTCCCTTGTGTTGTCGTGTCCGAACCATCTCTTCTTGCGGAGTTCTCTTTTTCTTCCATTGTGACCGTATTTGCATGCCACCACCATCGTGCGCTACAGTGATGGCAACGCCGAAAAAGCGGCAGAACTACATCGCGATTGATCATGGTGTCGCCACGAGTAGTCTCCTGACCGATCAAGAGATTATTAATGATGTCCCGGGCGCCCATGAAGACCACGATTCCGACGAAGAATCATGCGAGGAGATACAGCCGCGACCTCATCGCACCTCACGGGAAGTCTCGGAGGCACTGTTAATATTAGAGGACGCTTGCCTGAACACTCCCGACAGCTTGCGTGCTGTTGGCCATTTGGAACAGTTAGGAAAAATTGTGATGTCAGCCGGAATCTGCGCGAAAATGCAGACGACAATTACAAAATACTTCAACAAATAAAGGTATGCTTAAGCAGCTTGATTTTAAATGTTGTTTTCTCTGTTCATTCGTTAATTCGGCATTCGGTTAATTCGAACAGTTTTTCCGGTCCCGTGAAATCCGAATTAACAAGCTTTTACTGTATTTTGTAGGATTTTCACGATATCACATCGAAACGAGTTCGTTGCTAGCCTTATTTCGTATAACATTACACTTTGTTGCTACCGCATACATTTGACTGCATTCAACGCACCATCATGTTGCTGCCAGAGCTAATCGGCTGAACAGGAAGGCTTCAATACCGCAATCTCGCGTCGCCCCTCCAAGACGGAAGCAAGTGACGAGTCGACCTCTGAAGATTTGTCGTCACTGTGGTCTCCTAGAGTTTCCCTCAGAACCTAATCTGCCATCCCCTCGGTAGAGACAACGCGGTTGTGCACATTAAAAGAAAAAAAGCACAGCTGGACGTAGTCGGGCAACCACTGCATGCGCGCGCAGAAACCATTCACACGCGCACGACATTAAAAACGAAGAGCAAGCGACACGGATACCGCGAAAAACTATTCGGTGAAGCGCCCTCTATATGCAGCGCGACCCCACATTTGCGACGCTAAGTGTGGCACCAGAAGTGGCACTACCAACTTTTTAATAAGGAGAGAGGGGGAAGGCACATCTACGCATGCTCGTTATTGCGCGCGGAACTTGCCGCACAGCTACATTTCCAGAGCTCTAATTTTTTTTAGCAGCTGCATTATAATATCCCTGTGATGCTTCACAACAAATAGACATAACCTTTCCATTTTCTGCACTCAGATCTCGAGACATTGGCGAATGCTGTAAAGCTGTTCATATGTGTCTGTGTGTCATATAGATTTTTATAATTGGCTTTTTGTAAAGGTTGCTAGTAACAGAATATGTCCAGGGCATTTCAGAAATATCTTTTCGTGCTTATTTGAACACTAAAAAATAAGCCAATAAACATTGAAACCTCATTATAACAAGGTTGCATCTTACAAAAAAAAATAGGTTTGTTATATCCAAAAATTCGTTGTACCGGTTATTTCTAACACTATCTATTACAAGAATATTTTTCATTTACTTTGTTATAATTGATATTTCTTGTATTCATGTTTATTATATTGAGGTTTGAGTGTAGTGTTATGGCTAGAAAAAGGCCCTTGTGAATATTTTTACCAGGCTTGTGCGAATATTCAAAGGCTTCGAATATTTGAACGAATAATTCGAATTCACTTTGATTGGAATTTAAAATATTTAAAATGTTTAATTATTCGAAACAAACGAACAAATGCATATTAACCCACATGTATTACCCTGTAAAAGTGGTTTCACTACAGTAAAGCACTGCAAAGCGGTGAAAGCGCATGTCCAGGGGAAACCCGCATTGCCACAAAGCCCCACTTCAAGGTTATATGAGAATATTGCCCTCACATTGATCCTTTTTTTTTTTTTTAAGTTTAAAAGCTTCGTATACCTACTCACATGCTTTACAGGCTAACGCTTGCATTCTAGCGAAAGTCGAATTATGTTACTATTTAAAGTTGTTGTCACTTCCTTTGATGCAAGAAAACTATATTTTCACAGGCCTTGTCTCAAGTTTTTAAAAATATCGTGCAGGTTTGTTAGGTCATGACAAATATGCCTTTTTTTCTTTATATTATGCAGTATATATGCTACTCAAGTTCGATTCAAAATTATTCAACCAAAATCGGTATTTGCTTCGAACCTGAAATTCACTATTGACACAAGCCTAATCTTTACGTGAAAATCTTGAAAACTTATCTCTTATTCATTAAATTATTTTTGGATGAGAGTCCGCTGAGCGTTGCAGCTCAAGAACTGCAAAGATAGGTCAAGACCGATTTAAGTCATGATATCAGCACAACAAAGAGCATCTGCATGTCAGATTTCATCACTTTACATGAATAGTAAAACTGGTTTTGCTGGACACTGTCAAACTCTACCAAATAGTCAAATTTTTTTACCATGCTGGCCTGCTAAGCCTAACAGCGAAACTGCAGTACCCCTCTGGACCAGAGAGAGCTCACAAAATGATGGATTCAGCCCGAAGGTGGCATTCAACATTGTCCAGAACAGCACCTCAGTACAGTACCAAGACAGTGACAAGGATGTAAATGATATCAATGACGAGGGGTGGTACTGTGCATGGTTCCAAATTCCAAGCACACGGTTGAATTTTACAATGGTAGCTTATGTGAGAATCTTCAACGACCTTCTGGGTCATTCAAAGTTCACAAGGCGGCAAATTAAAGAGCAAAGCCGAATTGAATACTGCCCAGAATAGCACCCCAGTACAGCACCAAGATAACATAGCAACAATGCTCTTGAAATGCAATAGTACAAATATAAAAAAATATAGGGTGTAACAATGAAGCCATACCACAACACTGACAAAGGGACACAAATGAAAAAGTGATGAACCTATTCAGCAAAACTAAAAATCCAGAGGTCGAGACAAGAAAGAGATGTGTGGAGAATGAGGTTGAAGGTGTCTTCACTTGCTGGAGAGCAGAATTCTCAGAGCTGGATACAGAGAAAGAACAGAATCTGCACCCACCTCTGCCCTCATTGCCGAGAGGGCTTCAATGTCAGCCGCATGAAGCAAGACTTCCCGCTCGTACTTCTCCTGAGCCTGCGACATAATCAAGCAAAGTCTTGAACGATGGTTAAATGATATGCAATAAAAAAGGAACAACACCTCTCAGGCACACATATTGATTGATTAAGCCTAACAAATTCATTGCTACAAACTAAGGCTTGCAGAGTCCGATACCAGTGTCGCAAAGTCACTTCTGATCGAGATTGGGCCTGATACAAATCATATTCTAGATCGTGCTTGGTTCCTCCAAGAAAGCTGCAGAAGGGAGTCCACCACTGCTGAAAGCTTTCATCCCGGACAAGTTTAAATGTAGTCAGCAGGGTACCATGCAGGGTTCCAAGCGACTGGATGGTCCAATATGCAATTTAATGCATATTGGAGCCACTAAGAATAACAAGACTGTGCAGCACAACTAATTCACACAAGTCCCAAACCTGCTTGGCGAGCGAGAGTTGCACGTCTTGGTCGAGCACGTGCTCGGCGTCCCTCCGAGCTCGGTCGGCAACCATACTCTGTGCTTCCGCCAGCTCGCTCCGTGTGGCCGCAAGTTCTTTTTCCAGATCTTCAACCTGCACGAGAGAGGAAGATGTGCACATAACGGACTCACTGTGTTTCCGTCAGCAAGATGACGGTGCACACTTAAGAATGTAGCCACACTCGAGAGGAGACGAAAAGTGCTCAATACAGTCAAGCAACTGGCCTCTGCAATGTGTTCGACAGGCTTCACGTAACTGTTAATGCTCTCCGATACTCTGAATGAGCAAGGCTCCTGCTTCATCAACAGCCCTAACAAGCAGCCACCGACCTTTTTAAAGCCACCTCACACCACTCATCAACGTACCTCGTCGCCTCACCTCATTGAAGCCCTTTACACGTGACAGTGGGTGAGCTTGTGTCAGCTCAGACTGCCTTGACATCCTGCTTAAAAGTGATGCTTATCATCTAGCATTCGAGTTTGTATGGTTTACTGTGCTGTGTGTGTTTCGTGTCAGTACAACAGAAAGTAATGTTCAAAACCTGCAAGCAGCACTGTCACTCTTGTAGAATCATCCATGTCCTCAACCAGAACATTTTCAAGAACCCAGCTGCTCACACCACACAAGTTTATCTCCTCAAAGTAATAGATACTCCAACAAGCAAAACGACTAAAACGCTTCAGCATGTGATAATTCAAGCTAACATGAATTAACATTTAGATGGGAAAAAATCTTCCAAGATTTTGGCAGGCTAGTTATGTCTCAAAAATCTTCTTCAGCTTGAGCGGTCTCTAGGCTTGTGCGAATAGGAATTTTAAGTCTGAAGAGAATTCGAAGAAAATAGTGATTTTCATCGAATAATTTATAGTCGAATTCAAATAGTACATATCACATTATATAACAAAAAATTGGCATATTTGTTATCACCTAACAAACCTGCACAGTAATATTGTTACGTTTGAAAGAGACCGGTAGAGGTTGAAAGGGGCCGTTTATCAGGTCATGAGGGGCAGCTCGGAAGCCGCCGACTGGTTAGACATCCTCCTGCTCCTCCTCTTACTTTCTAACCCCGGGCGACAAGTGCATTCACTGTATACGCTTCGTTGTCTTCGTGCATGTGTGCAACATTCCTCTCCGCGCAGACGAAGACTGCCGGACGAGTCAGTTGACTTGTCGTGGCGTGTAAAGTTTCAGGCAGGCAACATGAACCACTTGAGTTTTGGCAGCTTGTCGTCCACTCGCCGTGAGACGAGCTATTATGTAGTTGACCTCTGTAAGCCTGTCAACAATGACAAAAAGTCCATCGTAAGTGGCCAAAAACTTTTGGCATAACCCGTGCTTGCGTATCGGAGTTCACAACCACACCACATCACCATGACAATAAGCCACAGATTGATGGTGAATGTCGTAGCGTGCTTTCGCTTTGTCTTGCGATGCCAATGTACGTAGTCGAGCTATGTGACGCGCCTCTTTGGCAAGGCAGAGAGTCTCGGCGACAGTGACAGTGTTGTGATCACAGAAAGGTAAGATTGTGTCGATTGTGTGCCGGGGCAAACGTGCATAAAGCAAAAAGAAAGGGCTATAACCTGTAATCTCATGCTTGGCGGTGTTGATCGCGTACGTAATGAACGGGAGTATGTCATCCCAGTTCTTGTGGTCGGACAAGACATACATAGACAACATGTTGATAATGGTGCGGCTGGTACGCTCCGTCAGCCCATTAGTTTGGGGGTGGTATGGTGTCGAATGATACAGGCGGGATTCACACAAACGAAGAAGCTGCTCCACGAAATCCGCTGTGAATTGTCCTCCACGATCGCTGATAATCAGGCGAGGTGGGCCGTGTCGGAGGATGGCGTATTGTAGCAAAAACGACGAGACGCCACTGCGTCGACTACCACACACGCTACTGCGAGACGGTGGCCGTCCACTCCACAACTGCCAAACAATTATCCATCGGTTGCCCTAAGCCAATTTTGGAAAGGGGCCCAGAAAGTCAATCCCCACTTGTTCGAAAGGTGCGCTTGGAGTTGGCATCGGCTGTAGAAGACCCAATGGACCAGTTGATGGATGTTTGTGACACTGACATTGCATGCAACTTCCCACATAACTTTCAACGGACTTCTGCAATACCAGGCCGATAAAAGCGCTCTTTAGTCCGGTGAAGCGTCCGCGCCAAACCTAAGTGTTCAGATGTAGGGTCATTGTGCATGACACTCATAATAACTGTTCTCACGCTCTCCGGGACCACTAGAAAGAAATGCGCGCCACTGCTGGAGAGGTTCCTTTTGAACAACAGTCCATCACGCATACAGAAACGGTGTGCAATAGTGGAAGTGGATGCAGCGGCACAGAGTGGTGCTAGTTTAGCATCCTTCCGCTGTTCTGCTCGGAAACTGGGGTACTCCGGGAATGTAGGCGACACAAGACGCTACAAGCTGGTCAAAGTCATCGGATTCACAGTCCGTTGTGCTAAGTGGCATACATAAAAGACAGTCCGCGTCAGCATGTTGACGACCATTCTTGTAAGCAACGGTAAAACTGTATTCTTTTAGCCGGAGCGCCCAGCGGGCAAGGTGGCCGCAAGGGTCACGAAGGTTGACAAGCCAACGCAACGGGTGGTGGTCGGTTACAACTGTGAATCGGCGTCTGCACAGGTAAGACCTAAACCGCTGAATTACAAATATTACCGCCAAGCATTCTTGTTCCGTGACAGTGTAATTTCGTTCCGGCCTGCTTAGGGAGCGACTTGCGCATGCGACGACGTGTTTGCGGTCACCGTAACGTTGTACTAGGACGGCTCCAATACCTATGCCACTAGCATTCGTATGAAGTTCTGTCGGAGCAGAAGGACTGAAGTGCTGAAGGACGGGTCGCAACGTCAGAAAAAACTTCAATAGACGGAATGAAGAATCGAGAATCGCACTCTGGAGTCCCCTCAAAGGAATTGTCCTTTCGTAAGAGGCATGTGAGAGGATACGCAAAATCGGCAAACTTCGGAATAAAGGGGTGGAAGTACGAACAAAGCCCTAGGAAACTACCAAGCTCCTTGATGGAACGTGGCGCACTGAACGCCTCAACTGCTGATGTCTTCTGGGGGTCAGGGCGGATGCCATCCTTGTCAACGAGATGCCCAAGCACAAGCGTCTGGCGGTCTCCGAAGTGGCATTTCTTCGAGTTTAAAACTAGGCCAGCATCTTGGATGCCGTTCAAAACAGTATCCAGACGAGAGTTGGGTTCACTGAACGTGCGGCCAAAGATGACGACGTCGTCGAGGTAGCACATGCAGATGTCCCACTTCAAGCCACGCAGAATGGTGTCCATAAACCTCTCGAACGTTGCCGGTGCATTGCATAGTCCAAATGGCGTCACGTTGAGTTCAAAGAGCCCATCAAGGGTTACAAAGGCAGTCTTTTCCTTGTCTTCTGGGTGCATCGAAATTTGCCAATAACCGGATCGTAAGTCTACGGAGGAAAAATAAGAGGCCGAATGTAAGCAGTCTATTGCGTCCTCTATACGGGGCAGTGGGTATACGTCCTTTTTAGTCACGGCATTCAGTCGGCGATAGTCGACGCAAGATCTCCAAGATCCATCTTTCTTCTTAACAAGGATTACCAGTGCTGCCCACGGACTGGCTGACTCTTGTACCACTCCCTTTTGCATCATTTCCTGCACTCGGTCGTTGATAATTTGTCTTTCTGACGGGGAAACACGATATGGTTTTTGGCGAATCGGACTTGCCGCGTCAGTGTTGATGGTATGGCGCGTTCGAGACTGGGGGATTGGGATTATTTTGTCCTTCTGCGCAAATTCAAATATCGAAATGTGCTTCGACAGCACATTCATTAAAGTTCGGCGCTCGCTTGAGCTAAGGGACTTATTCATTGTTGCCATAAGCGCCCCGTCTAAATTGTGACAACCAGTTCCGGCACATTCTTCCGGAACGTCTGTGAGCTCGACCACTGATAAGGTTCCGTGTCCTTTGTTGACCGAAGCTGATTTCGAACCATTGGGTAGTGTCACAAGCTCAGAGGAACAGTTTACAGTCCATAGGCCAGTTTGTCCGCCATCGATCGACACCACACAATGGGGAACCAACACTTCTTCTTTACGCAGTTTATGTACATTAGTTCTATGCTCGCATAGAAACTGTAAGAATCCACGCCGCGACAACCAACGGGAACACGTACGGTAGACAACGCAGGCATGAACGTATCGCCACAGACACACAGCGTAGTTTGGTCGTCCGCTGGAGTTTCAAGAAGTTCTGACGGCATCTGGCCACTCACAAAGACTCTCCCTGTGCGACCGTATACAGTGGCACCATATTGTCGCAAAAAGTCCATGCCGAGAATGACGTGTGTCGACCGAGGAATAATCGCAAACTCTGTTGTTATGAGAAGGCCTCCCAAAAATACTTCATCACTACACACACCAATAGGGCGCAACGGCTTTCCACTCACTCACAGAACGTCGAAGTTTCATCCCAGATAAAAACAACTTTCCGCCCTAACAAATCTTTAAAAGAAGCACTCATCACGGAAATCGTTGCACCTGTGTCCACCAAAGCCATTACAGGCACATAATCCACCAAAACACGCACTTTACTTTTAAACATACACACAGGAGGTATTTCTGTCAGTAGTACATTTCCAGCGACCTCACCCCTCTCAGCCGTGCTGGCTAGTTTTGCGGTGGCGAAGAGGGCGCTTTGCGACGCAGTGGTGAAGGAGAACGATGAGCATGAGGTCGCAGTGGGGGCGTTAAACTCCTGTCAGATGCCCGGGAATGGTTGCGGAAGTTGCTAGGCGAATAGTCTGTCAGATGCCCGGGAGTGGTTGCGGAAGTTGCTGGGCCAATAGTTCTCATCAGGTGGTATGTGGGCCGGCCGCCGGACACCATGAGACTGTTCGAAGGGTCGTGAAAATTCGGATGGTTGGTGATACCGAGGAGTCACCCGAAGGTTGCAAAACCGTAATATGTGGCCTGGAACACCACAGGAATAGCACACCGGCCGAGGTCGAAACGTTGGTCGCTCGACGATAAATCGAGCATCATCATTTGTTCTTGTGTAACCAATGTACTGGTGGCGTTTGTCGTAACGAGTCGTCGGGTGTCGAGGAGGCATGCTCTGAGGGCGTCGGTAATGCCGCGAAGCGGAAAATCGGGTTGTCATCCTTAACTATGCGGCTGGGCTGTACTCCACAGTTGCCGCGCTCATCGTCAGTTGCCATGGGGGTCAAAGGAGGCCCATCCATAGCCTCAAGTGGCAGACACAACTCAGGATGGTCAGCTGTCGAACACGACATTTCTCGGTGGGACAGTTCCTCGTGAACAATCTGTCTAATGGTAGAGAAGAGGTCGAGGTCAGGATTCGTGTCCACACTGGCAACTGTTGTAACATTAATTAGCCGACCAAACTTGGGCACAATTCGACGCATCTTGAGCGTTTCAAACGTCGGCAATGCTGAATGACGTCGGACACAGAATTAAGGCTTTTTTTTCCAATTAGAAAGAAAAGTATACACGTCCTCAGCAATCCTTTTGAGCAAATGACCTACTGTCTTCTTCCGACGGAAGCACAGACCACCTTGCACAGCCTTAACACTTCTTCTATGTAAGTGGTGCATGTCTCACCTGATAGCTGTGCCCGTTGCGACAGTGTTTGCTCGGTTGCTTCTTTTTAGCAACCGAGTCGCCGAAACTTGCCCAGAGGTCTTTTACAAAAAGGTCCCATGTTGTGAGAGCGTCCTCGTGGTTCTCGTACCATACCAGTGCGGTGTCGGTCAGGGAGAACACTACGTTGGCTAGCTTAGCGGCTTCACTCCAACCGATGGACTTGTTCACGCGTTTGTACTGAGTGAGCCAGGCATTGACATCTTCTCCGGCTTTTCCTCTGAAGGTCGGTGAAACTCGGAGTACGGAAGCGGACCAGACGGTGCTGTCTCGGGAACGCCTGCTTCTTCGGGCATGCCGAAGTCGCTCACGGCAGAAGGTGGGAGACGGGCAAGTCGATGGCTTCGTCGAAGCTGTGGCAGTGATCGTTCCATAGTTGAAGCGCTTACCCAGCTCCTCCACCCCTCTGTTACGTTTGAAAGAGACCGGTAGAGAATGAAAGGGGCCGTTTACTAGGTCGTGAGGGGCAGCTCAGAAGCGGCCAACTGGTTAGAGACCCTCCTGCTCCTCCTCTTCCTTTCCAACCCCGGGTGACAAGTGCATTCACCGTACATGCTTTATTGTCTTCGTACATGTGCACAACAATATTGAAAAATTGAAACAAGGCCTGTGCAAATGGCCTTTTTTTTTCTGTTGAAAAGAAGGTGAAACAACTTTGAATATAGTAGCAGAATTTGACTTTCTGTATGATGCAAGCCATAATAATCAAATCATGTTCATTTTATAATTTACTATACTTAGAGTATGAGCCAGTGTAACAAGCTTTAACACTTTAAAAATGATGAATCAATGCGAGGCTATGGTGTTCATTTACCCTTTGAGTAACGCTTTGCAGCAATGTGGATATCTCTAGCGAAAATGCTTTACAGCTTTGCACACATCCACTGCAGTGAAACCACCTTTGCAAGAAATTTCAACAAATAGTTCAACGGATAGTTCAAAATTTTCAACAATTTAAATTCGAGTCAAAGCGAATTCGAATACTGTAACATTCATTAGAATATTAGAAGCATTCAAATATTCGCACAAGCCTAGTGAACGCGTAACTTATCCTGTCCGGTGCATCCTGTCCTGCCCAATTCTGACAAAAACCGAGTGGTGAAGGGGGCACATTGGAAAACGCTTGTGGACTTCAGCAAAGACTTACCTTGGTCTTGCTTTCCTCAAGCAGATGCACCTTCTCATTGGCCAGCTTGTGACACTGCTGCTCCAACCGGGCCACTCTGTCCTCAAGTTCACTCTTAGCTGCAAAAGAAAGCACAGCCTATGAAAGAAAGCACACGAGCATGTGCCCAGTACTCCAAAGTAGCTCCCTAGTGACCTGGCCCTTGCAAGTCAACATATTTTGAGGTTTTACATTCAGAAACACTAATATGCCCATGAGAGACGATGTAGTGGAGGCATCTGGATATGTTGACCACTTCTTTTAGCAAGCCTTAGAAACTAGGCCAACTGGTATGTAGTATTTTGCCTCCATGAAGATGTGGCCACCACAGCCAGGATTCAATTCCCCAACCCTTGGATTAGCAGCCAGCTAATGTAACCACTAGACCACAAACAGAAGGGAACACGCAGTGAGAAACTTTCGTTTTATTGCTTATTAGATACTATTAACATACATGGATTACTGAACCAAACAATAATTGACAAAAGCGTAAACATTAAAATGCAAACCAAAGGGCTAAAAATGCGTAGTACATAGTATTTACTCACGTAATAGATGCACTCACATAAGAGGCAGTTTGGTGCAAGAAATTTTTTATTTCCACACTTAATAGGCACACTTGAACTTGGTCATGATCAGTAGTTGTGCACCGTATTTGTAGAGTTGTAATGTGATGCCTTCTTACATTAAAAGGAGCAAAAAGAAAAAGACCGCAGCATCGCTGAGCCTGGTGTGCAGGCTCGTCGAGTAAAGGAAGAAGAGCAGCGAGTAACCTTTGCTCCAGGGCCGGCCGGCATGACACCGGTGTTGCTCCGACCGCTTATCGGCCAGGCGCCGATATGAAACATGCAATCACATCTTTATCAAGTGCACTTCCCTGTCGTTCATGCTTGCTACATCGTCTGCAAATTTAAAAGCTTTTCAGCATTCTGACACGAGTTTTTGCTTTTGCTGCCACTACATTCACCAGCTCGGCCGACTTTTGTTGTCGTTGATTTTGTGGCTGTAAACCTGAACATCATATCACGCGCTGCTCTGGTTAAGTGCAACCTTTTCTACACCCAACCTTTATGTTGTCTCGTAAAAACTTCCCGCAACATGCCGAATTGTAGGCCCAGATCAGCGTTAGTCCCAACCTTTATGTTGTCGCATAAAAACTTCCCGCGACATGCCGAATCGTAGGCCCAGATCAGCGTTAGTTGGTTTTCGGTGGCAGCTGCGGGCGATCAAAATAGCGGTTTTGTGCAAAAACAGTGTGACTTGCGGTGGCTCTACTTGAAGGAAAAAGGGCACTTGTAACACACTCAAACGGTGGATCTCGATTCAACTCAAATGTTTTGGATACGAGGTGCAAGCCACTGAAATCGAACAATCACTACGGTTCAGTACATCAAATTTTGGTCGTCATGAGAGAGAGAGAGAGAGAGAGAGAGAGAGAGAGAAGGTTAGTAAACGCTACACTTGGGGACCCGCCATGACGGCAACCAGCACGCCAACCGAGCAGCTCGACGCTTCGTACGTTGACTGGCATAGACTCCAAACAGAACCTACAAAAACCTACACACACTACATCGCATGCACCCCACATCTTACAGGTATGAATGCCCATTTTTCAGGGCCACACCAACCCACATTACGTGGACTGAGTGCACACTACACAACCACAATGTGAACGTCGCAAGTAAGCAATGGGACGCACTGCTGTCCAGTTCAGCCCTCGACCGCCACTGATTCAGAAGGCAGAGCGGATGGCAAGAGCCAGTGGAGCCCTGGACTAAGTGCCCCCGACCATCAGCAACCCACAAGATATTTCTTTGCCTGTACAAAAATGAAGTTTGTCATCATGCCCGTGTGTTACCACTGTGTTGCAGTGAAGCATGTCATCTTTTACACAGGTGCACATTTTAGCTGACCATGACTTTTTTTTTTTTTCTTTCACTGGTAGCAGCGGTTAACACTGTTCAGTTGAGTTTGCGGGAAAACATAACTCTTGGAGCTGCAAAGTAGCAGGCACAGCAAATGACCACCTCCAATTACTTTTTATAATTCAAATTTCCTTGCATCCCACTTTTTGTATACTTTCTTAATCCGAAAACGTGCTTAATTTAAAGATATTTCACAATCTCATACCACAGCAGAGCCTAAAAGGCGGCTTTGTTGCGGAACGAAAGTGTGATGGGGTGAAACATTTGAAAATCTAAAGGGTTATTGCCAACTAGATGTTGACTGTCTAAAAGTGAAATTTCAGTACGAACCGAATCAAATAGCAAAGACTGTTAAAAAATTATTAAAAACTTTCGTTACTTTACTATTTGAAAAATACTATTAGAAAAATATTTGAAATTTTGAATATTTACATGCCCTTACAGTTCAATAATTTCAATTAATATGAAAATTCATATAATCCATATAATGTAAAATAATATTATAAATTATGTTATCTAGAATATTACATCCCAAATCCATATTATGATTATAGGAGATGTCGTAGTGGAGGGCCTTCGCTATGCAACTGCCGCGGCTGGTATCGAACCCACAGCCTTTGGGTCCACAGTCGAGCACCGTAGCCACTGTTCCACCAAGGCAGATGAATTTGTGTCAAAAAGAAGTCAAAATATTCAGTGCTGGAATACTTGCCTTATAGGCTTATTTAAAACTCCTCACCTTGCTGTGCCTGTTCTAAGGCCTCTTGAACGTGACTGCTAAGGGTGTCCTGCTCGGAGAGACGTGCTTCAGCCTGAGAGCACACCGCTTGCAGGGACTCTGCGTGCTGCCTTACTGCTTGCAGCTCGGCCTGGAGCTCTGGAAGCAGAGGCAAATGCAATGTGATCAAAACACAATGCGCGACCAAGGAATGGAGAGACACAATCAAGGCTGCCAATACATTTTTTCGGAAGCATTCAAGACATTCACCCATTTTCATTAGGCTTGTGCAAACATTCGAATGCTTCGAATATTTGAACAAAAAGAAGGGCATTCAAATTTGCTTTGATTCAAATTTAAATTATTGAAAATTTCGAAATATTTGCAAGAAACAAATAGATGCATAATAATCCAAACGTACTGCCTGTAAAGATGGTTTCACTGCACTGTAGAAATGCTAAACCGCAAAAACACCTCTAAAAAAATCTGCTCTGCAGCGAAGCCCCTCTTCAAGTTTAAAGAGGCCCTGCAACACTTTTTTGAGCACCGTCAGAAAACGCTGCCGATCGGTAATCGAGGCTACCGCGGACACACAAGCGAAATATCATAGCGCAGCACACGGCGTGCGATTCACAATAATTTCTCAAAGTTAGCTAAAAATTGCTCTTTTCTTTCGGCAAATGACTCAAGCTCAGAAAGCACATGTGTTGTATTTTCTTTCCCCGTGCCATCCCTCCCTGCTTAGCTACAAGCGCTTTCGTCAGGACGAGAAGAGAGAATGCATTTGCAGCCTGCGAGAAATCTTTGCAACTCCACACATACTAGACGGATTCTAAAGATATTTGCGGAAGTGAATTCATGAGGCAATAAATAAGCTTCTTCAGTGAATCTATTCCCTGGCTACTTGAAAAAGTGTCACACGGCCCTTTTAAGTGTAAACACTACTCTCAAATCAATTCATTTTTTTAAGCTTAAAGGTAGTTATGACAGCTTATATGCTCTAAGTATAATAAATTTCAAAATGTTGCGTATTTTAAGGGTTATGACTTGCACCCTGCTAAATGTCGAATCCTGCTACTACTCAAAGTTCTTTCGACTTCCTTTGAACAAAAAAAAAAAAAAAAGAATTGCGTGTGCATAGAGGCCCTATTTCGATTTTTTAAAAACACTGCACAGGTTAGTTAAGTCATGATAAATATGCTCCTTTTTCATATACTATTTGAATTCCATTCGCATCTAAAATCCACTATTCACACAAGCCTAATTTTCTTGGTTAAAGCTCAATGATGCCTAGAATCTTGAAACAAAACACCGCCGTAAACAGTGAACCAGCACTTGTTTTGATAGCACAATGACATTTCAGCAAAAACTATAATGTGCCACCACAAACAAGCCTGCCATAAAGATGCTAAATGAATAAGTGCGCAGTAACAGTCTAATGTCAACTCAACAGCAGGTAAGCTTGCTGGTACATTCAATGCAAACTCGACAGTTGAACCCCTTTGTAGGAGACACTGATTTAAGTGACAAATGAGTATAAGAGGCCCCAGTGTGCCTGAATAAAAATGGGTGTTGATAAGAAAATGCTAATGTAGTACCCTGCTTACAAGACAAGCATCGCTTCCCAGTGCATTGTCCTTCAAAAAGGGGTTCGAAAGTAACTTCAACAAAATATGCTTCATATTATGTAATAGACCAATTTTATAATTTTAAAGCTAGCTTTTTGTATGAATTTTTGTCAAGCCAACAGCAAGATATTCCATGCCATGCACAGTTAGGTTTTTTTATGACAAGAAAAATTTTGGTTGCAATGAAGCATAAGACCAGCCTCGGCACATGCTGCTAGTGTTTTGCTTACCGAAGTGATACCGAGATCCAAGCTGAAATGAAGAAGAAACCATTTCAGGGGCTTACCTTTGACCTTCTCTTGAGTCTTGGTTAGTAGACTCCTCAGAGAGCTCACTTGTGCAGACTCGGCTGCAATGCAAAATAACAACTTCAAGGTTGGTGGATTACGACACCCACACAAGCGACAGACGGTGCACGTAGCACATGACTGAGCTTTCAAATTCTAAAGCAATGGTTACATTGGGGAGGCACCCATCCCATTACAAAGAACGTTAATGAGCTCAGTGTCCAGTACTACTTTATCAAACTGTAGCACTCTGGTTAGTGCAGTGAAAAATGAACCCTGTATACCACATTTTCTCATGCATAATTTGCCCCTGCATACAAGCGGCAACCCCAAGCTACAAACCATCGGGAAAAGAAGGAACACCCGCATATTCCTGTAAAGCCACCTTTCTTGCACTACTGTCACTCAGTGAACCAACTTGAAAACCGAAATTTATACAAAAAATAAATAAAGCGAAGACTGGAGTATCAAATAAATTGATGCAAAAGCACTCACCCGCATCTTCACTGCGTGCCTGATGTGACTGCTTCTCAGAGAGCTGGAAACAGAGCGACACAATGAGAAGCTGTTTCAGCTTACCCAACTACCTGACACATACCTAATAAACAGAGGTCTTCACAATAGCTTAACACTTCATTGGCTCCGTCGCACTTTTTGTAGCAGCCATTAGAGCAGGCAAAATCTGCCTTTGGAGCAGTTAACTCAAGTGTTTGGAGCATGCACAACCTTTTCATGACACACCCAGAGAAAGAAAATTTAGCTTTAATTCAGTTTAATGTTCTCTAAGCTTATACAATCACTTATACAGAAGCAGCAAGCCCCCAAGATAAGCAAAAAAAAAAAAACGAAAGTAGGACTATGTACAAAAGCAGTGACATAATATAGTGGAGGATATTGCAAGCTAGCTACAGCATGAAGTTCATAGCAGCGTGCACACACACTCACACACATGAACACAGACACATTCAAAGCTCGTTACAGTAAAACACCGTTAATAAGGGGGGGCTCTGCTGAGCGCCCACGGTGGCAGACGCGCCTGACCTCGTCTCCTTGTTTTTCTGGTCAGTTTGACGAATTTTTTCCGGTGATAGACCACGGTTCGTTGCTGCAGAAGTAAACCCCAGTTACGCGGTGAGCCTGTGTCGCACAGACAGGGTTTTTGAAGAACCTTTTTCTCTTTTTCTCTGTGTTTTGTGAGCTGACCACCCTAAGCCTCGTGAGCAGCTTCGGACTGGCCAACGGCACAGCTGCTGGCAGCCGCGTTCGTATCGCGTCTGCATGGCCGTGCCGTGCCTGGTGAACCTGTTGCGCCCGGCGCGTTTCACTCCGAATCTCGATACACCTACTATGAAAACGACCACGGCATGCACAAGCGTTCCAGTGAACTCAAGCGATTTCCCAACGCTATCTGGTGAAAACGAGACGATGAATGCAACGCAGTCTACGTTGTCATCAGAATGGTCTATTAGACCTCATGTCAACAACATGGCAGCGGCATCTTCTACCAGTAGCACCGAACTTTCGACAACGAGGTACAAAAAAATAATGCCATGTACTACTGACGCCAAGTGTCGCCGAACAGGCTGCACGCCGAACGGATGTGTCGGCCCCGCTATACTGTTTTGATCAGGCCGCTAAACAAAGTGCATGTGACAGACATTCCGAAACAAGCCCTTACAGACGCCAAGAGCAAAGTGCTCCATCAGCATTTATTGGAGAAATGGTAATTCTCCGTTTTTGACATAAACAGTAATTGCGAACAGATCACACTTCGTGATGAAGGTCATTTTTGCAAACTATGCACACTCTCACGCTTAGTGCCAACAGTGAATGGTAGCGTGCGAGTAATTGATGTCGACACATCGCCTCTTCAGCCACATACAGTCGGCAGCTCTCGTGGGGTAATTAAAATCAGACCCGGCCTAACAATTGAGTACATCAAAGCGCATCTGCGCTGTGAACAGGCAACACTCACCGATGTGCGCATGCTCGGCAAAACACAGTTGCTGCTTTTGACATTTGATACAGACTCTATACCGAAACGCTTGGTATTTGAATATGAAGTCATCCATGTTCACAAATATCGGCCTCGCCCGGTCGCATGCTACAACTGTCATCGTTTGGGCCGTGTTGCCAAATATTGTTCCTTTCCAACAGTATGCCGGGACTGTGGCAAAGCTCCGCATGAGGTCGAGCCAAACTGTAAGAAGTTTCCTCATTGCGTGGCTTGTGGAGCGTCCACAAACGTTTCACTCAGCCCTCATTGTCCTGAACGAAATATATCTGAATCAGCCCTTCGTCGCAACGCTAATGGTTCATCATCTACGACATCAGCCACACAGCCTACACCTCCGATACCTCAGAAAGTAACATGGGCTCAAACAGCCGCTTCTTACGATCTGACTCAGCTTATCAACAGCCTTCGCCAAGAAGTACAGGAATTACGGCAGGAAAATCAGAGACTTTGCAATCTCACGCTGGACCAAAAGAAAAAGAATCGGTGCCCAACGCCAAGCCGCAGTCGGTCTAGAAATAAAAGAAAGAGCCGTTCTCCGACATGTCGTTCTAAACCGATAACGGACAAGGACTTCGCCTACTCACACATTATTGGGCTCCTGCGACAAGAACAGGCTCAAGAATCTAATAAGCTGGAGCATGCAATTCGGTTGGAGATGGTTAACACTCTAACACAAGCCCTTGATACCATGCGAATTCGATTTCAAAATATGTTTGATGAACTGCAGCGCAATGTCCTCCCTGATAACAATAAGCGCCGCAAACCAGGGCCTTCCTCATGAGCTCTTCCGCTCATGTGGTGCAGTGGAATTGTCGTAGTTTTAACCAAATGCCCTCCACTATCCGTAATTATGTTCAAAGGCATCACCCTTCATTCCTTCTTCTCTAGGAGACGCGCGGCACGTGCTCGCTTCCTGGTTACCATGCTTTTCAGACACCAACCATCAAACATGGTTCCCAAAGGCCAGGCAGCGCTTCTGGTGCGTAATGACTAGAGACCGGATTATAGGCAAATGCCGGTTTCGTTCTTTGCGTTCCTATCGTGCCATTTCGATATATGAGGATGAATTAGAGATTAAGAAGTGCTTTCATGGTGTTTTTATAGTGCCTATAAATGCCTATTTTGAGTGTTCGTGCCTAATGCCTATAAGTGCCTATAAATGTCTATTTTCCAAATGAGCGCGCATATAAGCGTTATTCAAGCCCAAATTTTGTTTTCGAGCATGGTGTGAAACCGTTATTCATGTAAAAAGGCAGCATTGATATTTCCAAACACTATAAGGTTCAACGAAGACAAAGCTGACATGCTACGAGCGATTGGAGGAGGAGCATGAGGAGTGCAAAAGACACTATTTCTGCAGCCCTAAGTGGAAGAATGTCTCAGCGTTCGAGTGTTTGCAGGGGAAGGAGGAGAGAGAATAAAAGATGGGATAAGAAAATAAAAGTGACGTCTATGGCCGAGGCGACCACCTTCTACAGATAGCTGTACAGTGCCCTGAAAGAATTGAAGAACCCCCCTGAAGACCTGAATGTTGCGGCGGGAAAGGAAGAGCAGGTTTTTCTGGGCAGCCGTGGGTAGGGCAGCCGCGGGTAGCTGGAGAACGAATGAAAAACCATACAGGACTACTCCTGGAATACTAGTGTTGATTCAGTGGTGGCGAATGTCGCCAAATTGTTATATTTTATAAAGCAAAGTCTCAGACAGGTGCTGGCATGTTTACAATCAACGGTGTACTTAGCGTACATTCACCATATGCTTGAATATGCTTGTTCCAAATGAGATCCCTTGTCATATGTCTTTAAGTGACAAACATTAAAAATATACAGAACAGCGCTTCAAGGTTAGTCCTAAGCCGTTACTCAAAAATGACAGCTGTAACAATATAAAAAAATTAACTAGGACAGGAATTACTATGATCGCGTCGAATTCAAACTGCGGTTAAACCTCCTATGTTGAGCATTTTATGCTAAACTCACATTCGAAAATGATTGTACCTAAACAGTACTCTTAGCGCAATGATTATTAAAATTTTAGAATGTCGCATCAGATATAATTTTTTTAACACTTCGTTTTTTGTTAGTTTCATGACAGAATGAAATGGCTTATAAAGAGAACAAAGTGTGTTGTGTCAATGAAGGCATGTTTTCTTTGACATTTTAACCCATCTGCTCCAGCGCCTTCAGGTGCCACGGTGCGTGCCACGGTGCATGTGCTGGTGGTTGAGACAGCACAGCGGTCAAGGATAGCCGGTTCTCTGCTAAACCTCCGGTCCGAAGAACTAAGCGACGTCTTCCAGGCGCTACCGTTGCTGTACTCCAGCTGGAGACTGGCCCAGGAACAAGGCGATGCGCAGGGGTTGTGGCTGGCGTTCCCGACTGCTGCAGGGCAACAGCAACAAGCGAGGCCTGCATTCCAGCTGGGCGCTGGCCCAGGGATCTGGCACGGTGCCCTCGTCTCCGCTGTCGTTCACGGCGATCGAGGGCGTTTCGTGGGTGGTGGACCACTGCTGCTGAGGTCGTTCAAAGTTGCTGAGATGACCCGAGCGTGGTCGCGGTGAACGCAAAGTCCGAGCTACCAAGCTGCTGCAGCAGAGATCTGTGCCATGGAGAGGGCTGGCACGCGTTAGCGACGTCAGACGGGACATAGTCTTCAAGTTACTGGAATCAACGTCCTTCAGCGGCTCCAAACACGGCAAACCCTTCCGATTCAAAGACAATTAGCCCAATTCATCATCATCAGCCTGACTACATCCACTGCAGGACAACGGCCTCTCCCATGTTCCGCCAGTTAACCTGGTCCTGTGCTTGCTACTGCCAATTTATACCCGCAAACTTCTTAATCTCATCTGTCCACCTAACCTTCTGTCTCCCCCTAACCCGCTTATCTTCTCTGGGTATCCAGTTAGTTACCCTTAATGACCAGCGGTTATCCTGTCTACGTGCTACATGCCCAGCCCATGTCCATTTCTTCTTCTTGATTTCAGCTATGATATCCTTAACCCCCGTTTGTTCCCTAATCCACTCTGCTCTCGTCTTGTCTCTTAAGGTTATCCCTGCCATTTTTCTTTCCATTGCTCGCTGCGTCGTCCTCAATTTGAGCTGAACCCTCTTTATAAGTCTCCAAGTTTCTGCTCCATAGCTAAGTACCGGCAAGATACAGCTGTTATATACCTTCCTCTTCAGGGATAGTGGCAATCTACCTGTCATAATTTGAGAGTGCTTGCCAAATGTGCTCCACCCCATTCTTATTATTCTAGTTACTTCGGTCTCGTGGTTTGGCCCCGCGGTTATAACCTGCCCTAAGTAGAAAGTCTTTTACAACTTGAAGTGCACTATTACCTATCTCGAAGAGCTGCTCTTTTCCAAGGTTGTTGAACATTACTTTCGTTTTCTGCAGACTAATTTTAAGAACAACTTTTCTGCTCTCCTTGTCTAACTCCGTAATCATGAGTTGCAATTCATCCCCTGAGTTACTCAGCAATGCAATGTCATCGGCGAAGCGCAGGTTACTAACGTACTCTC